CCCTCTCCCTCTCTCTTCCTTCTCCCCCCCCCCTTTTTCAGTGCCTTTTGATCGAAGGAGCCCTTCACTTGTTCACGCCGGGAAAATGAGGTCCTGACTCCCTGACCCACAGACCGAGCCGAGCCGAGCCTGAGGTGGTAAAGAAATGATCTGACCGGCCCGTACGGCAGCCTCGCCAGCTGCGCGGTTGAGCAGAGTCTGGAGGCTGAAATTAGTTTGATCGAATATACCGCTCGATGACTGTTCTCGTGCCGACTCCGCCGCGCCGAGCGCTCCTCGCGATGGCACTGGGATAGAAACCTGGAGGAATTCTCGTGGACCAGCGGCTGCTGCCAACCTACTGGCCTCCATGTGGCAAAATTAAAGTAACGTAATTTCCTAACCCCCCCAAAACTGTGAACAGAAATCTGAATAAGTGTTAAGAGCACTGAGTCATATTAAAAATGGAAAACAGAGGTGCGGGTTTCCTCACACCAAGGGAGTTCCTCAAAGTTTTCCGTTGAACAGGACCCCATCACATGTAGTAGGCTCGTTTCAACGCGGGAAAAAATTTGAAAACAACAACAACATACTGTTATGCCTCCTAAAACTAAAAGAAGGTAGTGGAAGTTGGCGCGGGCTCCCTTGAGAGAAGAGGCACACCAACGTTCCTCTGTCTTGCCGCAGTGTAGTGCCGCCGCTTAACAAACGGCTTGCACTTTACGGCTGGCAATGTCACTCAAATGACCTGCCTACCTACATGCGCCTATGGTGCGGTCAGGGGGGAGGGGCGTGGGGACAGATGGGGGAGAGACGACAACAACCGCAGAGTCCGTGAACTCTTAATCGGAGTGATGAACGGTTCGTGCGATGTGCGGGGCGGGGCGGGGTGTGCGGGGGCCGGCCTTGGCTCGGGCCGCTGCTTAGGCCCGCCTCGGGACGCATTAGGCCCCTAGCGAGGCCTTGCGTGAGGCTGATAGCGGCCCGAATGAATCACTCGCACTCATGTTGTGATTCGATCGTTTTGACAGACGCTGCCGTGAGCGCGATACCCATGTGCTCGTTGTTGTTGTTGTTGTTGCGCGAGGCTTGATGGCAGATAGGGTATAGGCCTGCCGGTCAGCGACGGGGATTGATTCTCCGAGGCAAGGATTCAAGGGAGGTTGAAATGTGAGGGTTAGGTTAGGAGGGCTGCTGCTGCTAAATTTGAATGGGTCTGCTTCAAGATTT